GTTTTACTGTAAGACGATCTGTGACCGAGTCTTCACCGAGGTGTGGTGGAAAAAAACGCCAAAATAAAGTGACAGGTCGCTGTGCTGATCAACCTCCACAGTGACTCAGAGATGACCTAGTTAGTGGGATCACCATGGACGATAACCAGTTCTTCACTGACTGTTGATCTAAATTCTAACAAAAACAAAACTGTGCCAAGACTTTTATTTTGAAGGCCATCTTCACTGTTGGAGTATTTTCCAAAATAAAACGTTTTTCTCTTTCGTATCAATTCAAACCAAACTCATTTTTCTGCTGTGGTCCAGAACCTGATAATCCACAGACTGTTGCTGGTTCAATTCCCTGTGACCTCTGAGTTCTACTGTGAAGTCATGTACTTTACGTGTACAGTTGTAGTAAATCCCTGACCTGTGTATTTGTGTCCAGCTGTTTATACTTGAACTTGTTCACAGTTTGACTCTGAAATGATGAATTGAATTGGTTTTTATTTTGTTACTAAACTTTTTTTCTTTTTTTTTTCCTGCAGCTTCACTTCAGATTCTAAGATGGCCGACATTGACAAGTAAGTTGTTGTTGTTGTATTTTTAAACTAGTTGGATCTAAAATCTCTGTCCTCGGTGGGTCCTGACGTCTGGGCTGCAGCCCAGGGTCCACTGATCTGTTTGTGTCCCCCCCGCCCCCACCCCTCCCCCCCCCCACTGACGTCTCTCTCCACCTGTCTGTGCAGTAAAGACCAGGCTGAGATGGACCCTGCAGACATGGAGGACGTGGAGGACGTGGAGGAGGAGGAGACCGGAGAGGACGTCAACAGCAAAGGTCAGGAAAACAAAACGCTCCTTCTTCAGATGTGGACCGTTTTGGTGACACGTCCTGGTCAGATGTTGTCCCTGGAGACCTGGAGCTCTAACTGTGATTGGTCTCCGCAGCTCGTCAGCTGACCGTGCAGATGATGCAGAACCCACAGATCCTGGCTGCCCTGCAGGAGAGGCTGGACGGTCTGAACGGGTCTCCATCTGGGTACATCGAGAGGTCAGTGGCCGGGTCGTGACCTGACCTGGGAACCTTTTTAAAATTTTAATTAAAATGTCCGCGTTAAATGTTAGTTTGGAGTTCGTAGCTGACTGTACGTCTGTCGTCACTTTGATGGTTGTTTTTTTGTTTTTGTTTTCTGGTGTTTTTGTTTTTTGACGGGAAAACTTTTGTTGTCGCGCCCCTCGGCTTTAACCACACATACCTGAGATACCCTGGACTGTCTCGTCCTCACCTCTGCTCGTGTCTGTCCCCGACAGTTTACCCAAGGTTGTCAAGAGACGCATCAATGCCCTGAAGAACCTGCAGGTCAAATGTGCCCAGATCGAAGCCAAGTTCTACGAAGAAGTCCACGAACTGGAGAGGAAGTACGCCGCCCTCTACCAGCCGCTCTTTGACAAAGTACGACCCCGTCCTCCCCGACCCGACCCCAGCCCGACCTTCTCATGTTCTAATGTTCTGAAGCTGAACTCTTGTCTGTCCTGTTGCAGAGGAGTGACATTTTGAAAGCGGCCTACGAGCCAACGGACGAGGAGTGTGAATGGAAGGAGAACGACGACGAAGAGCTCACCGTAAGAACTTTGACTTTCTGAAATGCTACGTCTGCTGTAATGAGTTTCTCCGAAACCTGAAGTTCCGACTTGTCCCGTAGGATGAGATGAAGGAGAAGGCCAAGCTGGAGGAGGAGAAGAAAGACGAGGAGAAGGAGGACCCCAAAGGCATCCCCGACTTCTGGTTAACTGTTTTCAGAAACGTGGACCTGCTCAGTGACATGCTGCAGGTAGGGCTTCCCACAATGCCCCTGGGCGAGGCAAAGTAGGTCACCCACTGGATCAGGAAACAGAAACATCTGGGTTTGCCTCCCTCTGCTGGCCAGGTGTTGTAGTGCAGCGTGTGTGTGTCAGACGGTCTAATGTCCTTCATCTTGTCCACGGGGGCCGGAGGAGCCGATCCTCAAACATCTACAAGACATCAAAGTCAAGTTCTCTGACCCGGGTCAGCCCATGGTAAGACCACCACGTCCTGGTACTGGGTCAAGTCTCTGATGTCACCAGACGTGGGTTTTTAACCAAAACTTTTTTTGCCCCCACTCTCTCACCAGACGTGGGTTTTTAACCAAAACTGTTTTTGCCCCCCTCTCCCCCCACCCAGAGTTTCTCACTAGAATTCCACTTTGAACCCAACGACTTCTTCTCAAACACAATACTGACAAAAACCTACAAGATGAGATCAGAGCCCGACGAGAGCGACCCGTTCTCCTTTGATGGACCGGAGATCATGAGCTGCACCGGGTAAGACCGCTGCACCACGGTACTGGTCCGGTACCCTGGATAGGTTAGACTGGAATGAATG